TTATGTAATAAAATTTATAAATTGAATAATTAATGGAATTAAAATTATTATTACATTAAAAAATTTAATTTTTTTTTTAGATCATAAACCGCAATAAACATTGGACTGCCAAAAGTAGAAACGGCATTGTGATTAAACAGCTTTTATTTATTGTTTACGTTTTTATTCATCACAACGCTACGCAACGCCTTTGGCGATTACTCATATCGTCCGCAATTCTCGTTTTGCCTTTTAATTTTGCAAAAGCAGCATTCTGCGGTCACATACATACATATGCACATACGTATATGCGATAATAATTGTTGTGWGTTGCAAAGTGTACGGTAGGAAGTGTGGCGTAAAAATTGAAAGTTAACTGTTCGTAATCCGAAACTGAAACCATAGAAGAGTGACTGGCTGTTCTTCCATGCCGAAAAGCCACAGGTAAGTTCAASCGCTTTTCAAGTAATGTGAAGATATACTTTATTATAAACATATGTACATATATTTGCATGCAAGCATACACACACGCACATATGTAGATGTTCGCAACTCGGTTTGTGTGTTTGCGCTTGCGTGCGTCTGCGTCGTCGCCTTAATAAAGGCGTTAAATCCCACTACAAAAGCCGCCACATTCGCACGAGCAAACGCATATACACACCTCTGTATGCATGTATGTGCGCGCATTCGAACGTTTAGCTCATTGTCGCTGCGAATGGAAAGCATTTCAAGGTCAAGACGAAACATCATGCGACGAGATGTGGAGCTTTTGGGATTTTTTTCCGCAACTTTTATGTTTTTACCTTTTTTATGGTATTTGCATCAAGTTTAGTGGCTGCTGTTGTTGTTGTTGTTGTTGTTGTTCGTAAACTATTTGTGCACTGAGCGTGCAAAATGTTTAGCATTGCCTTTTGTTGAGTGCATGAATGGTATTGACACATGGCAAGCAAATATTTAAAAAACTTAAACTATAATAAAGGCAAGCGCACACACACACTAGCACAAACACATACATATGTATGTATATATACATGCATACAGCGCACTATATAATTTTTAACGCTTCCATTGAACTGATTCATGGATATTTCCCAACCAGCGGCGCTTGCAGGCCGAGCGCTCACACAATTAGGCWTGCACGTGTGTATGTGTGTGTGTCTGCTTCATTTTAAAGTTAGCTTAGTTCAGCTACATCGTGCTGCAATTAAGAAATTGATATTTTTGTGAAGTAGTTGAGCAAGTTAAAGCTGTATGGTGGTGCGAAAATATACTCCATATTAGCGAGGCTTTTATTATATAGAGACCCACGATCGGGGTGGGATAGATACGGAGTGTTGGAATGGGAAGCGAGACGCATATGCAACAATGAGAGAAAAAGTCCGAAATATGAGTATGAACAGCTTAAGAAAATGGTCGAAGGGGGGAATGCTCGAAAATTTTATGAAAAGGTTCGAAAACTAACCGAGGTSCCTAAACGTGAGCATGCTTTTGTAGCACCCAAAGCGGTTATCTAACGACTGATGTTCAGGGCATACCTAAGTTGTGGACAGAATATTTCTCTGGCCCACAGAACAGCAGTGAAAGTAGAACATCTGGAGTTGGCGAATCCGATTCACCAAWCGATGACGATAGAATAGATGTGCCACTGCTCGACTATGAAGARGTTCGAATAAAAATTAACCGCCTGAAGAACAATAAAAACGAACGATGACTTACCAGTAYGGCGTTGAAGAACTGACRAGGTGCATGTATCCGCTTCTTTGCAGGATATGGTCGATACGKTGATTGCAACCAAATCCACAAAAAGAAGGACCGCACACAAACTTTCTTAATATCTCATATAAGGTCCTATCGAGCGCGGTGTGTGAAAGAAAGAAGGGCACCGTAAACAAACTGATCGGACTGTGGATTTTGGCTTTAGACATGGGAAATCAAAAACTGAACAGTTATTCACCATGCGCCAAATCTTGGAAAATATCCGTGAAAAGAGGAGCTGCTTTTGATAGCACGAAAATGCCGCTATGGTCTGAATGTTGTATCGCCGCAAAACTAAGACAGTTGTGTGAACTGACGTTGAGCAATACCAAAAGCTGCATCAAAGTTGGGAAAGACCTCTCCGGGCAGTTGATTACCAAACGAGGTTTCAGACGAGGCGACTCCATATCGTGTGACTACTTAAATCTATTGCTGTCGAAAATAATTCATCAAATTGCAGCAAAAAAAAAAAAAAAAAAAAAAAAAAAAAAAAAAAAAAAAAAAAAAAAAAAAAAAAAAAAAAAAAAAAAAAAAAAAAAAAAAAAAAAACATTACTCGTTGATCACTGCTCTGTAGCGCTCACCATTCACAGTAACCGCTAAGATGGAAATGGGCCTCATCGCTCATGATTATTTTTGATGAAAAATCATCTTCCTCTGAATGATGATTAATTATGGCTTGAGCGTATGTTAGGCGCGATTGGCGATCAGCTGTTAACAGTTGATGCACCGTCTGGACTTTGGACGGAAACATTTTCAAATCTTGTACCAAAACGCGCTGTAAACACCGTCGACTGATTTGCGGGGCACGTCTTCTGGTCAATGTCGACGGTGCATCCGTGACATCCGCGGCGACAGCAGCAATTTTCTCTGCAGAACAGCTACTCCAGAATCTAGCAGCATCTCGTGTTGTGCCAGTCTCTTCGAGGCGAGTGGCTAAACGTCGCAGTGTTTCATCAGTAGGCGTCGAACGGCCAGGAAATCTGCGACGAAATTCACGTTTTGCCAAAGTCACCGACCGTTTAGTGGTCAAATAAATAGTCACCAATAACCCACAAATGTCAAAACAGAACTGACATTAGAGATCAATTGCAAAATTTATAGCATCTTCTGATAGGAGAATTACTTTTGTGTACTCCTCTCCTCAAATAAACAGTCRCTCCCATTACTGTTGACAGCCAAAACTTCGAAGTCGTAGCTAATTTSGTATATTTTTGAACTAGTATTGAAGCAACAACAATGTCAGCCTCGAAARCKAACGCAGTATAACACTTGCCAACAAGTGCTATTTCGAACTGAGTACGCAATTGAGATGTAAAATCCTCTCTCGACAAACAAAGTCCCTCATTATGCCCGTCCTGCTGTATGGTGCGGAGGCATAGACAACGACAACAATAACAACTGAGGAGTCGGTTTCAGAAGTGTTCGAGAMAAAGGTTMTGCGGAAGGTTTATGGTCTTTTGCGTTTTGACCGACCGTAGTCGGTGGAACGATAAGCTCTATGAGACATACGGTGATATTGACATAGTTCCGGAGAATAAAGAGACAGTGGTTGCGCCCGGTTAAAGAAAACATTTCAGCTCGGAAGATTTCCCATTCTGTATACGCCGTTAGAAACAGATGAAGAGCTCTACTCCGTAAGAGAGATGAGGTGGAGAAGGACCTAGCTGCACTTTAATTTGTATGACAGCTATATACAATGGTTGTCGGACATGCACAATTTCTTTGTATATTGTACCACAGCCTCGAGTGTTAATGTGTGCCGATTCTTGCCAAGATACCGATCAGTTTCTATGGTTGCCATTTCCAATTGTCGGCCAAAATTGGCGGTTCCGCTAAATGAGCAACTGCTTGTCAAGAAATATACGTTTTCGAAATTTCAAACCGATATCTCRAAAACTGAGCRTCTAGCACGTGTACATACCGATATACGTGCAAAAAGACGGACTTGGCTAAATCGACYCAACTCGCCACGCTGCCCTGTTCAGTGTACAAAAATCTACAATTTCGAAATACACATATTTAATATGTAGCCAWACACATACACACATGCATATATAAATAATATTTACTTTCAAAAGTGCGCATAACAAATGTACTTGCTTGCTATATGCCGAGCGAATATAATACGCTTGGGGCAGGCACTCAAGTGGCGCAAACGCAAAAAATCGCAAGCGAAAATCACTTTCATTTAGTTTAATACAAATATATGCACATAAGTACATACATATGTATGTATGTTTGCATAGAATATTTTATTTGAAATTCGCGAATTCGCACATAAAACTATTTCCATGCGCGCGCCACGCACTGGCTTCACAGAAAAGTTACACCTCAATAACGCTGAATGCTGCTGACGAAAAGTGCAGAAACACGAAAAAAGCAACAAYAATGTGGCCTAAAGGCAGCTGGCAGCTAGCTGCTAGTCAACGGCTCGCCGAAACATTGAAAAATTCTGGCGAAAAGGCCCTGAAGACACATTCACACATTTCAATTTCGCATAATGGTGATTTTTCACGGCAGCGAGCACACACACACACACACACACAAACACTCATGCAGACAGACAGCCAGCCAGCCAGACAAATGTATGATTTTTATGCGCGCAATTATCTAAAGTGTGCGCAAATCCACAAGTACATCTTAGATTTGGTCTGAGAATCAGCGTTTGYTTATGTTGCGACATAAAAAATTCGCTGTTCATGTGCGCACTTACACACATAAGTATGTATATCCGTACACASATGTGCGTATGTAAGCATATAAATATGATGTTAAATATTTGCTAAAATTTTATGGGAATTTTTGCCAATTGTCAAAGTGCCGCTTGAACGCGAGTGAGCAATTTRTAATGAATTGTTTGTAAATAAAAATATTAAAGACCATTAAAATTATTTAAACAAATAAGGGTGGGATAGACACGTGTAAGGTCGACCATTAAGAGTTTATTCCCGCAAATATTTTTTATGTTTGCTCTTCATATCGCTAATAGCCGGATATGTGTTTGCACTTCTATAAGGCATTTGCAGTTCAAAAAAAAAAAAAAAAAAAAAAAAAAACCCAAAAAAAAAAAAAAAAAAAAAAATCGCTCAACTGTTGCTTAAAGTGCCCGAAATATTAAGAGATTGTTCGCTTGATGCCAATAAATAAGAACTTAAACAAATAGGTTGCAAGAATATACAAATAACAGTTCTTTTTTTTTTGTATTGGAGTAGTAACCTCATTTAGCCGAGTTTACAACAGCGCTCCGGTCATTATTCTCTTTGGCTGCTTGGCGCCAATTGGAGATTTCAAGCGTGTCCAGGTCCTTTTCCACTTTCCAACGGATTGGAGATCTTTCTCTTCCTCTGCTTCCCCCGATGGCTACTGCCTTAAATACTCTTAGCGCTGGGGTATTTTCAACCATTCGGCCAACTTATCACCTAGCCACCGTAGCCGTTGTCTCCTAATTMGTTGAACATTATCATTGTCGCCGTATATCTCGTACAACTAATCGTTCCATCGAATGCCTTATTCGTCATTTCCAGTGCGCAAAGAACCAAAATTCTTCCGCAGAATCTTGCTATTGAAAACTCGTAACGTTGACTCATCAGATCCACGCCTCTGCACTATATAGCACGATGGTCATAATGTGTGACTTATAGAGTTTGGTCATTGTTCGTTGGGAGAGAACATGAAATCCATTATCCT